AATATACTTCTCGTAATTATAGAGTCTGAAAAAATGTTTAAATTATCTGGAGTCTTATATAACATAGACAACCTTAGGAACCGACCGCCTTAGGAACAATTTAAATTGACCAGACGAGACACATTTTGTCAATAGACCGTATGCAAAGTGACCTAGAACCGTGGGCAGCATGTTTTCATCGAGGGCAGTAAAAAAAAAAACCTAAATATCATTCGGAATCGACATCATGCCATCGTTCGGCCACCGTCTGTTGATTTTACCGCCGGCGTAAAACGGGCAACAGCCATGTCTGTGCAGGCAAACGCGATCGCGACGTACCCGGTATACCTAACCAAGTACACGGTAATGTTGTCAACTTCGCGCACATAATTATTTTAAGCCGAATAAAATACAAGGCATGTTTTACGAATAAAACGTAGACGCGCGCATAGGCTCGACGGTCAGTCGCGTACTTCTATGCGCGTGCTCGATTTCGTGTTCTCGGATTTCTCCAGGAATCGGTGAGGACGTATCGTGTTTCGTGTGAAAATCCGTCGACGGCCAACCGATTATACACGTATCGGTCGTTTTGGTCTACGGTCGCTGGTGCAGACGGTACATACCATACGCGTACGTCTCGCACGAGAGGGAAGCCGAAAAATTATGGGAAAGAACACATCGTCGATCCGTCGGACGCGCGAAATCAAGACGTTTTCCGTTCGAGTTCGAATTTGAATGCGCGTGCACGACATTGTTACGATGCGAACGACGATCTGCAGCGGCGGCCAAATCGGTCGGTCGGTAGTGAACACGAAACAACCGTGTTATAAAATAATCCAACACTACCAGGTAGTGAACATGGTCGCGGGTCTGCGGTTAAACGAATCCTTCTTCGCCTTTGACCCGTTTTAACGGGAACGTAATATAGATAATCACGCATAAGATAATTTTTTTTTTTATTCGACGTAACCTCGGCTTACGTCGAGATGTTTACGGGATATCGAAAACGTTTTTCGTTTTCGGTTTGTGCGTACCTGCAGTAACTGCAGTAAGACGTCGACAGTTGAACATTATTTTCCTTCGCATCAACTAAACGGAGAAAAACACATTTTATAAATGATATTTTTTTTGTTTCTAATATCGTACGCTGTCGACCGAACCGCTAGCTAGACTCACGTTCAAACACTTTCGACCAACTCCTTCGACCGTGTGAAATTAATCGTGAACAAAATCGAACGAAACATCCTTTCGTTATATCCTTTTTACTCGCGTCTACTTAATATATATCGTGTACATTGTACATGTGTACAGTGTATATTGTATGTGTACTACGGACCGAATACACACCCTTATACGATAAGTAACTTCGGTAACTACTACGCCGTGAAGTCTCGTCAAACCGGACACGATTGCCTTCCCGTCAGTATCGTTGGACCGCATTCGGTGTACGTAAACCCAAGGTATACGATGTATTTTTATCATAACGAAGATCAAGTCAAACGATTTAAAATGAAAAATTATCTATTGCGCATGATAATCATTGTACTTGTTGAATTTATATGGCCCATTAAGCTCTTGATTACAATATTGCAGTAATGAAATCGTTATTCTATTTACAAATGATTTTACGCATATAATTACTATTAAACCGCATTCATAAAATATTTGCGTTACAGCTGAAAACGATATAGAGGGCATAATGTATATAAATTAATTTTAACAAAATTTTAAGGAAAAAAAGTAGATTTTTTTTTTTTTAATGCAACACCTTAGTAGTTCATTATAAAATCACTTTGATTTTTTTGTTTATTCCATTATGATTAAATATTCAATAGTGTGTTTATTATAGAAACAAATAAATAGCAATAATTGGCGGGAACAACTTAATAATAAAAAAATAATAATGCGTAGGCCCGTATAGCTGTATGACATGCGCACACACCAATGTTATCGTAAAAAACATCCAATGTATAATTTTATTTTCTTTCCACCTCTGTTTCGAAAAACTGGTTTTAAATATACGGTTCCAGACAACCGAATTTTGTTATTGCACCATGTTGCACGAATTGATGAAATATATTGTTTGCTGTTCAGTGATGAGAAGATTAATTCTAATGAAACTTAGTTTTTTTTGCCTGCACGAATACAACGACAGACGTATTTAATATCAACAAATAATATATAATATATAATATGCCAATATTTTTCTCCAATTTGAATGCTCTGTACAAATGGTTTTGTGGTCTATTAATTACAGCTGTTCAACGTGATAATAGACAATATTCATGGCTATGATTGTTCTATAACAAAACGGTAGTTTAAGAAATATTGTTTAACCTGTGATGATTTAACTCATTAAAATCATGAAGTATGTATAGTATAATATGTAATACATGTAGGTTGATTGCAAAATTATTTACATTATCATTTAGTATCAATAACATAGCAAATTATCATAAATTTAACTAGAACACGGGTTTTGTACATTCGATTAAAATCAAATGGGTAAGTGATTTAATTTTATGATACATTTATAGATTGAGATCGTTACATTATATAAATGATAAGTAAAAAAAAAAATTAATCTTATATAGGTAATTAATTCAATGAAAATATAAAAAGTAATATTTATAATTTTTCAGCATGGTTTTTTTTTAAATTCAATTTTGCGCTACGGTTTTATAGCAAAACTGTTACATGCATGTGAAATTAATATAAATATCATAGACACATAAAGGAAGAAACAAAAGAAAGAAACAAAACAAATAAAGGAAGTCGGCTATAAGAATAAAGTTGACGATTAAAGACATGATAGAGGATGAACGGGAAATGATGACGAAGAGGAGAATGTCGAGGAAGAATAGCTAATTTGGAGGGAAATAATATCTCCTACACAAACATAGTGTTAAATCCTACAAAATTAAGTTTCAACTCCTACAAGAGATAATGTTAACTCCTACGAATAATATAATAATAAAAAATATGTTTTATAAAAGTATCAAATTCATATTTAAAAATATAAATCGTAAGATTATTATACAGCATTAATATTAAAAAATCCAAATGACTTAGCAAAATAGTTAAAAAATTAAAATCAAAACAATTGTTTGAAAAGGATAACAATTTAATAAAATAATAGTTTTATTAATTTACCTTTATTTTTAAGGCCTACTGAATGAACTCTAAACTTGAAATTTCTCCTCGTGTATATTTATTTTTTTGTAAACACATAAATGCATATATTGACATTGTTTTTGTCTATCTACGTCGTGTCATCAAAATCAAAAATCGTGTACTCAAGTAAAAATGTTGGAGTGGATGTTATTACCCAAATATTTTTCTGGTAAAATGGTAAGAGTACAGTATCTTTTATCTAAAGGTAAAAAAGTTTTTTGTGTAATTTACATTTGGAAAGGAGTAATTTATGAGGATGGAAAACGGGGGTTATGATATAGGTAGTTAAGAAATAATAATCATAACCGATATACCTAATTCCGACATACCTAATAAAAAAAAACAGACTTCTATTTTTAACCACTTTTCTAACAATACTATTAAACATTTGTTCAATATTTTTGGAATGATTTGCTTAAAATACTATTGACTTCCTTGAATTCATAATCTATTAATTTGTAAGGTAAAAATGAGAAGTACCATACATGCATTTTAAATTTTCAACCTTTATAGTTTATAACATAGTTTTTTTCCATATCAAATCGGGTTTAATTAATAACAATTATATGAATGATCTTTATATATTTACTTAATTTTCAAAATATCTGCCGAATTATATGTATTGTATCGTATTGATAAAAAATGTAATGTACATTTAAAAAATAAATCTTTGGCTCTCGGATATTTCAGCAGTATTTTAATATAGATATGGACAATTGAATTCTTTTATGTATTATTTATTTATGTTATTGTCTAGTTGATGTATATAAATATTATTTATTGGTTTTTTTTTTTTTTTGTTACGTTTTCAGTGTATTAGTTATAAAATAACAATCATGTTATATAAAAAAATGATGAATTTCAATTATTTCATTTAGTATATATCATATATGAGAATTAAAAAGAAAACACTTTTTGGATAAATGTGTTTTAAAATAACAAATAAACCATACTATGAAAATTAATTATTCTATTTCACTTAGTATAATAAACACAAGACGCATACATTTATTTTTGTTATAAATATTATTTTCGTTTTGATATTGTAAAAGTGAATTTTACAAGAAAAAAAATTACCCTGACTGCAAATACGATTTATACATTATATCAAGAACTAATTTTTGTTTTATAGTTTCGTCCAACATGATTATCATTGTGCGAGCTATTAAATACATTTAGTTAAATCAAAACTGATGAAGTGATGGCTTTATGCGGAGGCAACATTGTTCTACCACGTGGTCTGCCATATTACACGCATGCAATTTAAATATTTTCTATTATAATTTTGAAAACAGTTTTTAGTATCCAATTTAGTATTTGTGTTATTTGTGTATATTAATATACATATATGTACACAATTAAATTCATATTTCTGTATACATTTTTATATTATAGGGTAGTTAGAGCGTTAAATATAGGTGTAGGAATAATATTATTTAATTAATTCAATTAGTTTAAAGCCAACCAAAAAAAAAAAAAAAAAAATAATAATAAATAAATAAATAAAATAAAATAATAGCTAAAATTTATTTTTCATGTATTGTACCATTTTTTTTTTTTAATTTTTATCCAATTACATATAAAAATGCAATGCATACAAATGTCAAGGTAAAAAATTGAAAATGGAAAATTCCAAAGAGTTTTGATGATTTAAACAATTCAGTATGCTATATTATTTTGAAACTCAAAAGAGATTAAAAAAATATTAAGTTAACTTTAGGAAATAATTATCATCTATGTCTTATGTGTTATTTTTAATTCATTATTTGTGATAAACTAATTTGTCACAAATTAATCAACGGAAAATGTTCTATATTTATGATATAAAAATAAAAAGTATTACTTACCGAAAAATGGATGGAAAGATTCGTCTAATATAGACTTAAATCCCAAATCAATGTCATCAAATACAGATTCGCCGTTACTAGTTTGTAGATCGCACATAATAACTATTATTCTATATATATTATTCTTTCGTAAAAACGTTATTAAAAAAAATTAATTGTTTAAAAAAAAAAATAAAAAGGCGTCACGGACATACGAAACTAAAACGTTATCAAGTCGCACTACAGTATGATACATGAAAAATATTGTCGAAATAAAATTTAATAGTTCTGTTATATTGTATTATGTACAACAAAAAACGTATATAGTGAAAAGAACGTTGTTTATACGAATTATATTGTTTAAAATTATTCAGTTGACGATTTATGCGTATTCGTTGGATGGTGATAAAAACCGCGATGCGAAGATTGATTAAAATGTTTCAAAATGTTAAAAAAAAAAATTAAATTAAAAAAAGCAAAAGCGAAAACAACAAATTATTTTAATCACATGTATACGACCGTACACGGTATATACCCGGCAGTCGGCACGTACCAACCTACTGATCGCGCGATGGAACTGACCGACGTGCAGAAGCGTCGAGTCTATCAGCTGTGACGTCATTATGTATCTAATTGGGTCCAATCCGGTTTGTTTTAAATATTTTTCATTAACCCCGAGTTCCCGAGCCACTATACAAATTTAAATAATTTCTCGAACCGCTGATAACGATGATAATTTTACGAAACGGTATTGTAATGATCGTTGTATGAACACGTTAAATTTTCGATCGTGATCCACTGCGATATCAACCACATCTCGAGCCGTACATATGAAATGACAATATTGATACTATACGAAGTTCGAATAGTCAACGCGTTTATTTATGACCAGTTCCGTGCACAAGGGTGAAAGGGGGAGGGGGTTCATCCCCCATTAACGGAAAAATATAAATCGTGATTTTCATTTTTGATTGATTATATTAAATATTTTTTAATCTTATTTGTAATAATGCATTATTATGTACTTTTATAGTGTTATCGTATGGGTTACATTGTTTATCGAATTTTGTCATTATCGTTATCGTGGTATAAATTTAGATAAGTAACAACCAAGTATTTTTTCTTACCCCGGTCGGGTAAATTAATTACAACAATAATTTGTATTTTACAATATTGATAAAAAAAAAACAGTTTTAATATAATTACAAAATTAATAATAATTATAAATATATAATTCTATTTACTAATTATTGATATATCTATTTTATACATTATTTTTTAAATCCCTTCCCCTTCATTTGAAATCCTGCGCATGGGGCTGTTTATGACCAATATCATTTTTAATCGTTTTAGAATTGATTTATGAGTTTTACGATTGATGTCGTATCGACGTGCAATTTAAATAATAATAAGCAATATTTTATAGTTCGATCAACTTTTCGCAAATAATCTGGAATATTATTACATTATATTTTCTATTGGTCATAGGTTAGAAGATAAAAATTATTCAAAACTGAAGACACATTGAAAATATTTCGATTACAAGACGTTAATAGCAGGTTTTCATAGCGGTTTAACATTCTCGTCGTGATTTTTGAAAAATGATTTCACAAAGTGATAACGTTTTGTTAACACTCAAAGATTTCAATCCACCGCAGAGAAAAAACGATTCATAATAGTCCTTGTGCGTTTTACCGTAAAAACAAATCTTTTCTGAAAATCAAATTTACTTTTACGCGCGTTTAATGTTTACGACCGAAATTGTTAGATGAATATTATGTTATACAGCGAACATTAAGCTATTTAAGAATTCACAGACCACAAGGCCGTGTCCATAATAATATAGTATCATCATCTATAAATATATATTTAAGGTGCATAAACGTTGTATGTAGACAAAAATACTTTTTATATCTTAAACTACACTTGTATAATTCGTCGACGAGTCTATTTCGCATTGCAGTTAATCATGCTCGTTCAGTTTTGACGTTATGTGTTATACGAGCAGCGTATAAACGTTATGTATATAAATCAATACATGTATACGTTTGATATTTAATTTAATTTCGTTCTTAGAATATAAAAATGAAACTAGAACATTAGTCATTGTAACTAATATCTGATGTGTACGTGCAAAACTCGTTTATATAAATTACAATCGTATTGTTAACAGGAGTGATTGAACCACGATAGTATATGCATGCAATGGTTACAATATTACAATTAACATTTAACTAAATTATACAGACGTTTAAGCGGTTTTATAATGTATTCGATAAAAATCATTTTTACAGCGTTTCAATATTGTTACCCTGTTCGGAATCGAGCAAGTTCATAGTGAAAATAATATCACCTCATAAAATAGAGTATACGTAGACGAATTATATATTATCACTCATACCTATGTACTTGCAGTGTGACAAGCAAACACATCATAATATTACGGTACTCGATTAAGTAATTAATTCATATGCATGGTATACAACTGCATTATTAAATATATATATATATATATAAATATAACTTAAATATAATTGCGTTATTTAGGTTAATAACTAAAACATAAATGACTTGAGCAATGTTTGTCAAAATATTACTAATATTACTCATTATATATTGTAGCAATTATTATTAACACCATTAAAATTATACAAATACAAATACTTATATTTAGCATTTAGTGTGCTGAAACAATTGAATTTATACAATAAATATAAAAAAAATATACATATAGTGTTCGCGGAGCATCCGAGTTGGGTCCCGAATTTTTATAGGTACTACACTAGTTACTGAATATTTTTTGGTAAGTATTACATTATACTAACATTTTCCTTCCCATTTTAAAAGATTTGGGACTACCTATGATCTATTTAGATCACAGGTATGGTTAAAATGTTTTTTATAGTTTTTTTTTTGTTTTTTGTTTCTTTTCCAATAAAATATAAATTATTATAATTGTGTGGGTAAAAATATTAAAATTGTTCAAAATCAAGTATAAAAATACATATTATATAATATAATTATAGCCATATAAGGCAAATTTAAAAATATTAAAAATTTTAAAATCATTATATAATATAAATAAAAATTAATGGAAAAGAAACTAAAAAACAAAAAAAATACCTGTAAAAAATATTTTTAACCATACATGTGGTCTAAATAGATTATAGGCAGTCCTGAGTCTGTTAAAATGGGAAGGAAAATGTTAGTATAATGTAGTAATTACCAAAAAATATTCAGGAACTAAAATAGTAAACGAACTATAACGTAAAAACATTAAAACTAAAATCATGACATTCAACTGCCCATAAACTTTGAATTAATAAATTATACAATATTATAAAATCATATTTACCGATATCAATATTATTTGATTAAAAATTGATTAAAAAAGTATTCTTATAAATAGTTATGCCATTATATTTATGACCCGAAGCTTTTTATTTCAGATTTCAGTATTTATTAAATAAATAATAAATATTTATATTTTATTCTGAGTAATAAATAATTTTAATTAACAATATCAAGTATTTAAGAATGATAATAATACATAAAATCAAAATATACTCATTAAATAATAAGCTTACAATTATTTAAAATTCTGTTATAAAACAATCCATTTAATAAATTATGAATGCGGCTAGATAACAAACGGTTTTGATCTCAGCAATGAGATAAACTGACAAATTCAAATCATGTAAAATTATTACATTTATAATACATTCTGATAACGGTTAAAAAAATTCAAATCAAATATATTCGAACCTTTACGCTAAGCAGAATATACAGCTAACAGCCGCATAATCGCTCTAGTGCCCGGGTTGGAATATTTTTGTGAAAATGAGGAGGGTGCTAATGGATTCGTTATTTTTTCAATGAATATTTTAAATGTATATTGAACGATACGTTTTAATATTATATTTCATTCAAATTAGGAAACTCGTTAACTTAAATGTATTTTATTTCTATTCATTACATATTTTGCTATTTCTTATTTTTTTTTTTAGTAATGCGTATCATCATGTGGTACGCACGAATTGAGCATCATATTTTTGTAATAGATTTAATCGTACTATTAGCAATTGTAAATTCCGATAAGACGGTAGACGGTAGGCCATCAATTTTTAGTACAATATGATCTGTTATCTACCGACAAACATTCTGTTTTTTTTTTTTTTTATTAATATTTAACGTGCGTATATGGATTAGTTTTATCTTCAGGCTATGTGTATTATTATTTTTTTTAATATTTTTTACAAACCACGTGCTGGCAGTTTTCTTTTGATTTTTAAAATAATTGAAAGAATAAGCTGCAGTAATTTTTAAATTATGTTTTCTTTACCCACACGAAAAATATCTAAAACTATGTAGGTACCTACGTCACTATTTTAGATTTCCTTTGGTCGATCATATTGTAGGATATGCAAGCAAAAACGACGATCTCTTACACACAATTATTATGGTTACTTTTCCGGTTACATGTATCTCAACAATGTGAATTAATACATTTTCTTATGCCACACTATTGCCCACTTTTTAACTTTTTATATTTGAGAAAACACAAAATGATTGCACACAAGCAAATATTTTTTATTGATGGATTTAAAGGAATTAATTATAATAAAAATTAAATTGGTAAAATTGAAAAAATGACCAACATTAATAATAACGTACTGAGCAATAAGAAAATATTATATTTATAATTGATACGTAAAATAAATATAAAAATAATTAAATATCATTAAATAATTATTAACTGATATTGGAGTCACGGTTTTGTGCTAAATAGTTATAAAAATATGATTTATTTTTTACTATACATATTACGTTATCATTGATATTGAAAATTTTTTTGAGTTTTATTAACTTATGTAGATATTATTATTATTAATATTATAAAATATTTTACATTAAATACATTATAGGACAATTATATAAGTATATATAAATAAATTATAGGACATTTGATAATTGTATAAAATCCAACAATATAAAATATTTTTTTGTGCGCAATCGTGTTGTGTTTCTTTGAATATAAAAAGGCGAAACTTTCTCAACCATGTTTATGTTTCTCAAATATAAAAAAGGTAAAAAGTGGACTATCGTGTTACGCACCTGGACCTTCTCCTACTCAGGGAGGAACCGAGTCGATGCTTTTATCGGTAACGCATTCCAATTCATCTCCAGAAAAGACACTTTAAACAATAACTAAAATTATTTTTTCTTCGTGCAAATGGATTTCATATAAAACTTCAGAGTATTTTCTGGAGCTCGGAATACGATATTCTTATTTATCAAAATATATAATATCGTTATCGGTTGAATAACTAATTTTTATTCATTATTTATTAGCATTGATAATAGTAATTTCGGTTAACTCTTATCAAAGTGTGACCATGACTAATGGCATTTTTAACGCATTTCACACTATACCCCATGTATTATCAAGATAGTGCTATCACATAGTGATGCATTCACAGTTTCTGAGTGCCTAAGTATGAACATTAATTGTACATATATTGTATAATATTAGTATTTATAATCAATGGTATGACTAAATGATTGATAAAAATA